GTATGCACAATAGAATTGCAGCCTCAGTTTCCAAAGCACCAAAACTGAGGCATCTGTTTTTGAGGCAAGGGATGAATTTGAGTAGCTCCTTAGGGTACAAACAAGGAGGGAGCAAACCTTCACCTTCCTCCAAACCTACACAGGCTTTGGGAATCTGCTTTTCACTACGTACCGGTGAACACATTTCTCTCATTTTGTTATTCCACCATTCTTTTGGTTCATATGACTCTGGACTTCATTCCATCTGATCTTGGCTTGTAAGGAAGAGGGCTTCTAAAATTAAATTTGGAAATAGAATATGCCCCAGCTTGCAACAGATTTTAGTCCATCTTTGTCCCCCTCTCAGCATTCCTGATGAAGACTGACAGACTGAAAATCTTGTTGATGCTGTGTTTATAATTGTAATCAATATGTTTTCTGTATTTGCTTACAAAAATATACACATATGCTGTTGCACTGCCAGTTAACAAAAAAAAAAAAAGAAAAGAAAAGAAAAAAGAAAAAGAAAAAGAAAGAAACTTAATGCAGTTCTCTCTCTGTGTATGTATGTTTGTTTTGGTTTTGCAGTGTTTAACCAGTGTTCTAGTACACAAGTAGAAAAAAACCCCAAAATACTGTGGAGGCCATCACTTGTGGATGGTTTGCAGTAATTTATTCTTACACACCAACTGAAGAATTCATTTTGTGAAATGGGACTGCATATAACTTGAAAGAATTATGGGAAAGTAAACTGTATCCTGAAACTGCAAAATCGAGCTTTTCACCAGTGGTCATCAGTTGCTGCTACTCCCATTCACCTGATATAATTTCAGACCCTGAGTGCTTGAATGTGGACAATGATGACATGTTGTTTTTTAGCCATTAAGTTGTGTCCAACTCTTCGTGACCCCATGGACCAGAGCATGCCAGGCCCTCCTGTCTTCCACTGCCTCCCAGAGTTTGGTCAAATTCATGTTGGTAGCTTCAGTGACACTGTCCAACCATCTCATCCTCTGTCGTCCCCTTCTCCTCTTGACTTAACACATCAGGGGCTTTTCCAGGGAGTCTTCTCTTCTCATGAGATGGCCAATGTATTGGAGCCTCAGCTTCAAGATCTGTCCTTCCAGGGAGCACTCAGGGTTGATTTCCTTCAGAATGGATAGGTTTGTTCTCCTTGTAGTCCAGGGGATTCTCAAGAGTCTCCTCCAGCACCACAGTTCAAAGGCACCAATTCTTCGGCGGTCAGCCTTCTTTGTGGTCCAGCTTTCACTTCCATACATTGCTACTGGAAAAACCATAGCTTTGACTATGCTGACCTTTGTTGGCAAGGTGATGTCTCTGCTTTTTAAAATGCTGTCTAGGGGTGTCATTGCTTTCTTCCCAAGAAGCAGGCGTCTTTTAATTTCATGGCTGCTGTCTCCATCTGCAATGATCATGGAGCCCAGGAAAGTAAAATCTGTCACTACCCCCATATCTTCCCCTTCGATTTGCCAGGAGGTGATGGGACGAGTGGCCATGATGATAGTGTTTTGTTGTTGTTGTTGTTGTTTTTATATTCAGATCATTTTTGGCACTCTCCTCTTTCACCCTCATTAAGAGGTTCTTTAAGT